TTTTTTTTATTGTATGTGTACGTGTGCATGAAATATTGATGATGCGTTAAATCGTTTCGGCAGTGAATGCACGCTTGCGCTTTCTCGTCAAGTGAAGAAAGACACTCCAAAAGGCGTCTTAAAGAGGAAGATGACTATTTCCGTTTCATACTCATAAAACATAGAACATAAGTTATATATGTTGAACAGAATTACTACTGCTTGAATAAGACTAACTAGCATCTGGCATAGGACATGAAATCAATCATATTTAACTTTCTTTTGTTTTGTCCAAGCCAGGTGTGATGCGTAGATTGTCTTGAAACAATTTTAGGGTTCTCGACTCGTTTTTTTTCATCTTTAACATATATATAACTAGCTTTTGACGGCATTCTCTCTCTCCCTCCTCCTTGTTCTCAATTCTTGCCTCTGTCGCCTTCTATCCGTCTAATCGATACACTGCACGGTCAGTATGTGTGATCGGTGATAGCACATATATCGACAAGATGGCAAAAATCAACAGAATACCACACTTTTCACGTTATTCTTTTAGTTTATTGCAATGACGCGTGTCTCCTATATATATATATATATATATACGATTCTATTTCCAGACTAGATATATTCTTTTCAATTTATATAATTCGTAGTTAATAATCGAGATAATATGTAAATATTTTTTAATTTACAATTTTAAACTCATTATTTGATGTCTAAGAAGAAGAACACAAACCACTCTTTTTTTTCGTATTCTGTCTTTTTCTTAATATTATACTATGGTATAAAAAATAGGTGCTAACATAGATATATATATATTATAAAGACGTAATTTTGATCGTTATATTGTTGATATGTTAGTTTCCTATTGACCAACAGAACTTAGATGTCGTGACACCCCTTTCTTATTCACTTCGGATGCTCATTAACACATATTCGTCCAACATTTAATTTTGACGTAGAACATTGTATCTCACGAATATATATATATACAATAGAAGTAAGTAAAACTATATCATAAACAAATAACAATTGGTACTTAAAATAAAAATCGATTGATCAAATTTATAAAAATAAGATAATATAATTATTTTAGATGTCATTCAGTTGGTCAACACCCTCGATTCCATCATATCCTGGTATTAAACCAGTAGCAACTAACAGTTTCGCTGATGCACTTAAACGATTAGCAGAACATGTGGAAGAAAAAAATAAAATTAGTAAGTTCATCAATTATAGATCGATGTATATATATATATAGTATTTTTTCATTAATAGATGCAAATAATAGTGGAACATCTAGTCTTGTACAATTATCAACAGATTTTCCTAATCGAATGCATCCATCTCATGTAAATAATCCCATGTCACCTGAACAAGCATTACGATTGTATACACAATATATTCATGAGGTATATATTTCTTATCTCTTGAGAATATTTTCTAATCTTTCGAATATAGACTGAACGAAGAGAAGATATACGACGATCTTATCTTCGAACTTACAGTGGATCTGATGGTTCAAATATAAATTCATCTATATTGAATCGGTAAAACGAAATAAAAAAAGAGTTCAATCGATTGTAATTTATCAGTTTTTTTTGTTCTACTGTTTAGACGACTTGATGTCAATGATCCTTATCGTTTTATGGCACCTCGTTTATCTGGTCCTTTTCATCCTTCTTCATATTTTCCATCACTTACACAACAAACAAGAATGCCACCACCACCACCATCAACATTTTTATTTTCGAATATTAAAACAACTGATACATTATCACGGTAACATTTATTATAATCACATCAGAAAAATCAAATAAATCTCTTTTTTTCTAGTACTCCAACACAGGAAAATACGGATAAAAAATCTGAAGTAAGTTATCTTCTATATAAAGAGTCAATTTTTTATAATTTGTTTTGTTATAATAGCAATCATTGGGATCATCTAAACCAAAATTAAAACTATTCCGTCCTTATGATCTTGATAGTCCAAATTCAAATTCTCATCAAACACCACCATCTTCACCAAGTATAACTAAAAAATCGACTCCTTCTCCAACAATTTTATCAAATCCTGATGAATCACAAACAACAACAACATCATTTGGCAAAGAAAAACAACTATTTAATTCATTAGGTCTTGTTCAACAATCAACTGATCTTATATCAGAAACATCATCATCAACAACAAGCGAAGAATCATCATCAATAGAAACAGTTTCATCACAACAAGATAATCATTCAGATAAATCTCATTCTAATATAAAAGATTCTTCATTATCAGTTACATTTAAACGTAAATCAACTTTTTCATCCAATACAAAGCAATCATCAAATCGAAAACAATCGAAAATTGATCCAATACAAAATACATCCGAATGATACAAAAGTCAATTTTTCCTACTTTCGAGTTCAATTTTATTTGATTTCTTTTCAGTTTTTTTGTTTGTTTTATACTTTCATTCGATCTCTTTCAATACGAGAAGTACTATTCACAAAACAAAAAAAAAACGATTCAAAAATCGTGATATATATATATTCAATATAATAAAAAAAGATTAATGTTGTTGATTGTATTAAAATAAAATTTTCTTTTTCTTCTCATTACTATTTGTTGTTTTTATAAAATTAAAATTTCATTTTTTCTCAGTATAGACATTAATGCTATGATTTTATTGTTCTTAGTAATACATCCAAATGTGAATAGAAAACGAAATTGCGAACCAAAACTATCTGATTGTTTTAATGTTTCATATTTATGGATATCATCATCACTAACTGATAGTCGAGCAAATTTCGTAGCTTCCTCAAAGTGATCAGGTTCATCAGAATTCATTGCTATGTGTCCATTACGTTGTCGTTCTTTTTCACAATTAATTCTTCAGTTGCTAATTTAAAAGCACGTTGACAAATTTCTATTAAATCAGCACCACTAAAACCTTTGGTTACACTAGCCAATAAATTCATATCAACATTTTTGGCTACAGGTGATTTTCTTAAAGTAGATCCTAAAATAACCATGCGTGATTTATCATCAGGTAATGGAATACAAATTAATTGATCGAGACGACCTAAATATATATATATATATATTAAATTAATATTTTATTTAGTATAAAAAATCGATGAATTTTTACCTTGTCGAAGGATAGCTGAATCAATGATATCTGATCGATTGGTTGTACCCCTACCATCCATTTCAGTTAAAATTTGATTAATAACACGATTAGCTGCACCACCACAAGCTTTTGCTATAAACATACAAAAATACAATAGACATATTCTTTTATTTTTTTTAACTTACCAATTGAATCTAATTCAGCGAAAAAGAGTACACATGGTGCTGCTTGACGAGCTTTGTCAAATACATCACGTACATTTGCTTCAGATTCAACAAATCACATAGTTAATAATTCTGGACCTTTAATTGAGATAAAATTGGCTTGACATTCATTAGCAATAGCTTTTGCTAATAATGTTCTACCTAAAATTGAATATTAATGTATATAAACATGTAAAAAACAACAACAAAAAATAACAACGTACCACAATCAGGTGGTCTATAGAAAAGAACACCAAGTGATGGTGTCATACCAAATTTAAGAACTTTTCTGAATGTTCAACTGCATATTGAACAAGTGTTTGTAATTCACGTTTAACACTGTCTAAACCACCAATATCTCCCAGTGTTGTTGTTGAAACTATAACAACTGTTTTACGTAATGCAGATGGATTTGATTCAATAAGTGCAGATAGAAAGTTGTGCTTTGTAACAACTAATGAGTTGAGTACTTCACTATCAGTTGCATCTTCTTGTAATACCAAGGTACCCATTTTTTCTTTAATTTGCAGTGAAACAGCTTTTGAAATTAATGATGCTAGATCTGCGCCAACATAACCCATAAATGTAATAGTAGATAGTTGAATTCAAGTATTCAAGTATTCAACTATTATAGTTGAAGTTTTCAAGTTTTCAACTATTCAACTATTCAAGTTTTCAACTATTCAAGTTTTCAACTATTCAAGCATTATAGTTGAGGGTGGGTGACTAGAATGGGGTTCAATATCCATCTCCCATCCATACCCATACCCTCAATAAATTCCCGTGATTTAACTGATGCACCCGGAGAACGGATACCCTCGGAAACACATCTTTTATATCGGCGTCGCGGCGTGGGGGCGCTTCGCGCCCCCCGAAGAGCCGCGACCTATGGGCGTCTATGTGTACACAGTGCGTGACATATGTGGGCGTGGGTATTGCTAGGGTGGGCAGTGGCGTAGCCGGAGGAGACTCAGTGCTCGTGAGAAAAACTATCAAATCCGGTTTTCTAGAAACCAAGACCAACCCTGGAGGGGAGTACAGGTTTTTTTTTTCTTTTGGTCGTTACTATGTGTTCGCAAACAGACTTTTTGTAAGAATATTCGGCTTTAACATGTAAGTCGGGCTTTTAATTGGCTTCGAAAAACTTGAATAGTTGAAAAGTTGAATAGCTGAAAACTTGAAAAGTTGAATAGTTGAATAAATACTTGAATACTTGAATTCAACTTTCGAGTATGACACTACTGCGGTGCTAATGAAACAGTTGATGATTGAGAATGTTGTTTTGATAATGAAGGATTCATTGAACGAATTGGTGATTGTGTTGGAGTTACTGAACCAGCATTTGGATGATATGAAGATGCAGATGCTGCTTGATCGGGCAAATGTTTTGTTGAACGTGATGCTGGACCAGACGATAAAGAAAATTGACGATTCTAATAAATAAAACAACATAAAGATTTCTCATAACTTAGAAAATAAAAAAAAAGTAAATTCAATAACATTAATAATAATAATTTACTTGTATTGTAAACTACTTATATAATTCATCATTTGAATCTAACATAAGACCTTGTCTTTGTGCACCTTCTTTACATAAATTTAATAATGCTGAATATTCATCACCTTCAAATAAACCAGGTACTTCACTATTAGCTAATACAGTATTTATTCGTTCAAGAAAACTACTATCCATTACATTTGATTCATCAAGTAAAAAGACAATTTTTTCTCGTTTACAACCTGAACGACGTAATAATTGACGTAAATCATCATTAAAACCAGGAGCTGTATATTTATTACGTACCTATATATTTTTTAAAAAATGAAAATAATTCATTTTTATTATAATTTTTTGCTTTTAATTGAAAAAAATCTATTTGATTAAGCCATGAAACAAATCGACATAGAGTAGCTTTGCCTGTACCAGATAAACCAATAAGTAAAAGATGACCTTGTGGTTGTCGAAATACTCGATCAATTGTTGAGACTTGATCAAGTACTAGATTAAAAATAACTAATTGAATTCCTACTTCTTCTTCATAATAAGTCTTGATAACAAAAAAACGATAATAATATTTTTAAATAAAATAAAAACTCAATCATACTTTTAATCGTCCTTGAATATACTGTCTTAATTCATCTTCATCAATAGCTTTTTCTGTCCATTGACGTTCATAATCATATATCAATCTAAACATTTCATAGAGATATTTATATACAAAAAAATTATTCAATATCTTTCTCACCGATCATGAAATAAATGTAAAACTTCATGTGCCCAAAATCGAATTAATTCTTCACCATTTAAATTTTGTACATTACGAATAGCTTCATTTATACCTCGAACCTAAATGTATAATAATGCCTTTTCTTATTGTTTTAAATTAATCTTCTATACTTATCGAGTCATTTCACGTGATGAATAAACATAATGTGGTTGTTGATCTACAGTAAATTGTTCCTAAATAAAAAAAAACTTTTATTCTAATAAAAATTAATCATATTCAATTTACTTGTGTTAGAAGAAAACATTCAACCATAGCATTTGTTAATAAATCAGCAGATGATTTAATATTATTAAATTTTTTTAACATTGCTCGATTGAATGTGCCATAAATTTGTTTTAAAGATATTTCACCTGGATAATCCACATAATTAGCTTCTTCGAATGCTTCACTTAATATTACTTCTCGTTCACCATCTGATTCAGACGTTATTCGCATTCCATCAATTAAAATGAAATTTGCACCAGTTTCGTTAGCTATACCACGTGCCATTAATCTTTTGCCTAAAATATAAATCATTTTTTCTTATTAATAAAAGAAGATTTTATTTTTATTAAACCTACGCCTCGTGGTCCATATAATAGGGCACGTGGTGGTTCAAAACCAGTTGTCTTAAATAGATGTGCGTATCTTAACGATAATTCAACCAGTCCTGTGATTTTTTTCAATTGTTTACTTGCACCACCGACATCCTGATAACTAATATAATTTATTAACCCTTCTTCTTCTGTACGTTCAATGGATTCACCATCCAAATGTATAACTGTTTTCTCTCCAACAATACAATATGATTTTTCTGTAATTTCAGTATATTAGAGCAGAGAGTGAGAGAGATAGAGAAACGAGACGTGTGTTCGTTTTCAAATGTTTATTTTAATGTAAATATGTAAATATGAAAACGCACACCGCACACACGACACGACTAACTAGAGAGAGAAAAAAAGAAGACGTGTATATATATGTGTCGATCACAAACAGCGAATACAATATATCACACGAATAAAGAGAAGAAAGGGAGATATCAAAGAAACAAAGAAAAAGAAGATATCGAATAAAAGATATCTGATCAAGGGGTGAGAAACGAATATGATGTTGACTGTAACACAGTAACTTTAAATTCCATAGCAACATGTACAATAAATACATTGCCATTATATATTTTTGATTTATCAGTTGACGCAAAAGATCGCATTAAATAAACTTCATATAAATCAACGGTTGTTATTGGTAACGTATCTTTGAAAGGTGCAACATGAATATTTTTTTGCCATCTTCGATATCTTCACAACGTTTGATTTTAATTAAATCATTGAAACGTATACTTAAATTATATGTTGCAGTACGATTTAATCTAATATGGTCGTGTGCACATTTTTCATCCTGAGCTATAATACCAATTGTACGACAATCTCCATGTTGAAGCAAGACCATATCCCCTCAGTTATGTTTATTTGATTTAATGTTGTATATGATAGTGTAACGAAATCATCGTATTCTACATCCAGGTTGAACAATCCCGCACGGAAACGGCCGATTCTGTGGTATTCCGGAGGGTGTGGGTGTAGGTGTGAGCTATGAGAGTAGACACCGACACATACCCACACCCTCATCCATTACCTTTGTGTACTGGTCGATTATAATTTGCAGCAAAATATGGCGTTAAATAAACTTCCAGTAGGTCGATACTTATTCCTTGTGTAGTTTCCTTAAAAGGTGAAACACATGTTTTTTGACCATCGTCAATGTCTTCGCACAGTTGCATATTAATGATATCATTAAAATGAACATTTAGGTTGTATCGTGTGGTACGATTGATTCTAACATGACCATGTGGATATTTTTCATCCTGAACTATAATGCCAATTGTACGACAATCACCACGTTGAATCAAGACCATATCCTCTAAATCTATGTTTATTTCTAGTAGTGTTGAAGACGATAATGCGATCATATTATCAGATTGTTCTTTAATGGAACCAACAATTAATTGATGAGAAATTTGTTCTTGATTTGCAGTAGTTGTTGTATGTTTTTCTTCTTTTTGAGTTGAATCAGTTCGTTTATTCATTTTATAACTGATCCGGTCAATGATTCCGAACACCGTTTAATGCAGGAAACGGCTATAAAACGGCTAAATTCGAGCTGGAAACGGCTGTGGGCGGGTGTGAGCTAAGAGAACAGACACTAATACACACATGGGGACGTACGGTGCCAGCTTTTTCCATATTTTCACCGACACCGCAGATTCCTACTCACACCCTGACATACATACACCCGCACCCACACCCCACCATCGTCAATGTCTTGGCAGAGTTGCATTTTAATGACATCGTTAAAATGAACATTTAGGTTGTATTGTGTGGTACGTTTGATTCTAACATGACCATGTGGACATTTTTCATCCTGAACTATAATAACAATTGCACGACAATCATCACGTTGAAGCAAGACCATATCCCCCTCAGTTATGTTTATTTGATTTAATGTTGTATATGATAATGTAACGAAATCATCGTATTCCAAATCCAGGTCGAACAATCCGGCACGGAAACGGCCGATCCTGTGGTATTCCGGAGGGTGTGGGTGTATAGGTGTGAGCTAAGAGAACAAACACCAACCCACATCCTCACCCACACTCACACCTACACCCAATATGAATTTCCTGTAATATTAGCAATTTTGAATTTAATAGCACGATTAGCAACTGGTACAATAAATACATTGCCATTATATATTTTTGATTTATCAGTTGACGCAAGATAACGCGTTAAATAAACATTCATTAGATCACGACTTATTTCATTTAATTCATAATTGAAAGGTGAAACATAAATGTTTTCACCATCTTTAATATCACGATAACGGTGAAGTTTTATGATGTCGGAAACGGCGTCTTAAACGGCCTGAAACGACTATAAAACAGCATTTTACTGCCTTATCTTTCGTCGTATTTCGCCGTAATCCGTCAACCCAGAATACGGGCCGTTTTTTCACTAGAAACCGGCTGTCGTTTTTCGCCTTATCTCTATACATTTCTGGATCAACGGATTACAACGACGTTTTGAAACAGTTTTTCGCCGTATTTTACCGTTTTTTTACCGTTTAATACTGTTCAGGGTGCCGTTGTCTTTGCCTTGGGCTGTTCAATATTGCCCATTTTGAAGCAAGACTATAACCTCTTCGGTTATGTTTATTCGGTTTAATGTTGCACATGATAATTCAACGAAATCATCGTATTCAACGATAAGATTATCCACAACGAATTGATGAAAACTTTGTACTTGATCTGCAGTAGTTATTGTATGTATTTCTTCTTTTTTAGTTAAATCAGCTCGTTCATTCATTTTAAAACTGATTCGGTCAATGATTCCGAACTCCGTTTAATGCAGGGAACGGCTAGAAAACGGCTGAGGGTGTGGGTGTGAGTGTGAGCTAAGAGAACAGACACCAACACATACCCACACCCACACCCATCGTCAATGTCTTCGCACAGTTGCATATTAATGACATCATTAAAATGAACATTTTGGTTGTATTGTGTGGTACGATTGATTCTAACATGGCAATGTGAACATTTTTCATCCTGAACAACAATACAAATTGTACGACATTCTCCATGTTGAAGCAAGACCACATCCGCTAAATCTATGTTTATTTCAAGTAATGTTGAAGACGATAATACGATTATATTATCAGATTCTTCTTTAATGCAATCGACAACTAATTCATGAGACATTTGATTTAAGATTGGATCGATTAGATTAGCCATGTTATTGTTAATTTTGTTTATAAATGCGTAAAAGTGTGTTGAGAAGAAATCTAGAAATATACTTTCATATAGTGACAAGGAAAAAAAGAAAACGGTAGAATAAAACGTATAAATAAAGAAACAAATATTATCCTAAATATTTTACAAAATAACATTTTCGTGACTATTAGTCGGTGTTAATGGAACAGTTGATGATTGAGAATGTTGTTTTGATAATGAAGGATTTATAGAACAAGCTGATGATTGTGTTGGAGTTACTGAACGAGCATTTGGATGAAGTGAAGATGGAGATACTGCTTGACCAGGTAAATTTTTTGTTGAACGTGATCCAGGACCAGATGATGGTGATTATTGACGATTTCTCTTAATATCTGTTGTTTCATTGCATAGATATGATGTTATCTTTCTTGATAATACAGATTTTTCTCAAAGTTTTTTTTCTATAATGAAAAATGTTAGTTGAACATTGACGAGATTATACGACGTATTAAATGGCTTAATAATATTTTCATGTGGACAGGAAACGTCAGATTCACAATAAAAATGTGTGTGTGTAGTGTACCTAGATCACATTCAGATCTATACATTTCTATTATTATAACATGTAATGACATTCCCTTCGAAATAAAAGACTTGAGGTTCTTAGAGAACTGTTTTTTTGAAATAATTTCAGATTTGATTTTAAACTGGAAAAATCTCAAATGTAAAAAATACTAAACGCATGAAATTCATTTAACTCTGTTATTACAAAAATATATCCTTTGTTCTTCTCAATGTCATTCTTGAATTTCTTTCGAAACTGCACATAACATTGAATGACTATGATAGAACGATACATCTATGTTTTATGTTTTTGAAAAAATTGACTTATTCAATTTGACAATAACATAAAATGTCCAAACAGACTTAATTAACGAATACAGCATCTAAAAAAGATGATTTAACTTGAAATAGACCAATCACGTTGCTTACTTCGTTTTTGCTAGAGCCGACGCACGTCCAAGCCGACGGTTTACACCCATAGATGCAAACAATGAACAAATATGTATGTATATAAAGCTTTATCTTAATTAAAAACATCATAGCCATAATAAAATATGAACCGATCAAATGTTCATCTTCTGAATTTACCTGATGAAATATTACTTATTATTTCGAAGTACTTGAACAATATGGATGTACTTTATTTTTTATTTGATATTAACAATGAACGCCTCAACATTCTTGCACAAGAAAACATTTTCAGCAACATTTTAAAGTTTGTTTCCATTGATAATATTTCTATCATCGATCGATTCTGCAATGATATATTACCAAGAATTCATCATAATGTGAAATGTTTTGCTTTTGATGCAGTTTTTATGGAACGTATTCTTCTTGCTACTGACTATCCGAATTTAACTGAACTTACAATTTTTCATTTCCAACAAGAAATCGCTTTAAATTATTTTACAAGTAAGTATTTTATGTGAATTTGATTAGTTGAGAAATAATAAAGGTGTGCAAAAGAAAAGACTATAGTATGTTTCACTGCATTGCTTTTCTTCTTTAGATCAATCATCGCTCCGATCTATTTTCCAAGAACAATTTACAAATCTTATTCTTATCAAGAATGATAAAAACAAAGATGTAGCGAAAATATATGGTAAAAATGTATATGTTCACATCTTGACCTTTTTCAAAAATTTAAAAAAATTAAGTATCATAGAACCATCTGTTGTGCTCTATCCATATTTATCACTTTATTATCCACCTTTATCACTTTTTAATTTGCCATCGACTACTTTTTCATCTCCAATTCTTACTCATTTATATATCAATGTTGAAACATTTGCTGATTGTCTTTATTTACTTGATGGTCGACTTAGAAAATTGACAACATTGTGTGTTATTGTTCATCATATGGACACATTTTCAGAAACTGTTCACAATATGGTAAGTTTTTATAAATAATTTCATTTATGTCATGAAGATTATTGCTATTCAACGTAGTTAACGATTGATCTAAAAATATTCAGATAAGAGATCAAATGGTCAAGTTTCAGTTTGATAAGGAGAAAAAAGTATTAGGTGTTGAGGAATATATCAAAATCATCGACATTCAGTCTGTACGCACTAGAAATTTGAATTTAATAAAAGAATCAGCATAGAATGAAATGAAAGTTTTTCTATAATAATAATTTTTTCAATAATTGAGATATGGTTCGAAGTTAGTCTGAAACTTTAATTGTTATTTTAAAACTCGTTTGTTGTGCTATAAAATGAGAAAATCAGATTAATAGATTTGTTATTTGCGACTATTCACATATAGAATATAGATCATGTGCCATGTGTAAAATAATGATGTCTATGATACAATCTTGTAGATTATTAAAAAAATATTTCTTTTTTTTTGTAGGATAAACTATTGAATCTAAAATGTTTCTCATTAAAATCGTTCTATCCATTTCAACAGTATGATAAAATTATATTACTTCTTCGTCGTATGTCAAATTTGGAAAAATTAACTCTAAATCTTTCTATACAAGATCGAAATAGAGTCATTGGTGGTACTCATGTTCAACATGATATTTTGAATTATATGTCACAACTTTGTTCATTCACTTTCTATATTTGTACTTATGTCGATCTGGTTGCTGTACCCTACAAGTTATCTAGTGAAGATATTCAACTAACATTAGCGAATATTGGACAACAACATATCAGTAGTATGGTCAATTATGTTACTGGTATTGTCAATTATGCTTTTGAAGTTAGAGCTGCATGCTCAATTTTCTCACTTCCTTTTGAATTTGATTATCTTCGAGATATTGGCAATAACTTTCCAAATATTGTATTCAGTTATGTTACGTATTTGCTTATAGAAGATATTACTCCATTCGAACATGAATTCTTCATGCGAATTGCCCGATCCTTTCCATTATTAAAGCATTTATGTATTTGGAATAAAAAATCACAAGAATTGGATGGTCTTATAACATTTTCACCTGACAATTGTCGATTACACTCAATTATTGAATATCCCCATCTGACTATACTTGATGTCAAATGGGCACATAAAGATTATATTGAACAATTTCTAAATGGAACAAAGACATTCGTACCTTGTCTAACGCAATTTGAAGTCTCATATATTGATGATTTAAAAGCTGTAACAAAAAACTTTACAAGAGAAGAAACACGACGCAATTGTGCTAAGGTGGAAAAAATAACTGCGATACAGGGTGTGATACATTCAAAAGATTTATGTCTCTATTTTCCATCGTTGTATAAGTAAATGTATTTTCGTTTTGTTTTATTCAATAAACTAAAAAATTATTTGTGTTTATATTATGAAAATGAGTAAAGATTGTCATAAGATAAATATCTCATTAAATAATAAATATTAGTATGAATGATATTTTTTTGATCATATATAACTCAAAAATATATTTACTATTATCGAACGAGGAATGTTTTATAATATGCAACATCTCTTACCTGATGATGTCACTAGTTTACAAATAGAACAATTTACATTAATTCTGATTGGTTTATTATTGCACTGTCTAGTCATTATCGTCATTATTTCTCGAATAGAGAAATCACATCATTACTTTCCTTATTCATACTTATACTAAAAAGATGGATACTAATAACGATAGTCCATATGATGTTCTTTTCGAACGTTCATTAGCAATTATTGTTCGTGAATATGGTTTTGATAATATTGAACTTTCTGCCTATCATCAATTTCTTGATATATCAAATAACATACTTCGTCGTTTATTACTCAATGTTAAAAATCTTATGGAAGTTCAATCACGTACTGAACCATGTCCATCCGATGTAGTACGTTCATTACAAATAATGAATGTTAAATTATCTTCATTACAACAAACATTTAATCATCCGATAAAACATCGTCTTCGTTCACCTGATCGTCAAACAGAAACAAATCCAATGAAATTATTTCGTGTAACACATACAACAAATAATAATTCTTCACGTAAACATCGTCCAATCTATATACCAGATTTTTTACCTGAATTTCCTGATCCTCATACATTTATTTCAAGTGAAACATATGCTGATTTACGTAAAGATTATCCACGTGTTCGACAATTATTAGCTGATCAACGTCGAGCATTACAACGTTCATTAGTTAAATTTAAATTACAAACAAATGATAAAATATCTGTTATTAATAATCATGGAACGAATATTAATGATTATTATCTTATTAAAAATACACTATCACCATTACCATATCTTTCAGCTCTATTACCTCAAGATCAAATGGATTCTGAAAGTACAGAATCAATGGAAGATGAAACAGTAGCAAACGTATCAAATAGAACACAGTCTTTGTCAGCTACAGATGATGGCGAGATGTAATTAGGTAAGAAATGAAATAAAATATTCATTGATGTAACTATAATATATACATATACACTTTCTTTTCTTTTTTTTTTAAAAACAACATTAATGTGACGTATTTTTTTTGTTGTTGTAGATTATATGAAATATGATGATTAATATTTTGAATTTATTTAATAAGAAAGAAGGAAATAAACATATCCTGTTGGAATATTTTCAATAAAGAAATATAAACCTTTAAATTAATAATCAACGTTACAGATGAACAAATATTATGCGTAAAATGCTATTAGATATATATCTTACGTCAAGACTATTTCTGTTTCTATATAATCTATGATGAAATTTGACAATTTTTTTTTAGATTAATAATTGATAAATAGGTTTTTTTTTCAGTTCGATTACGCATAAAATTTTTCTTGGTTATCGAATTGAATTAGTTTTAAATATATTTATATTTTAGATCAAATTTCTTTTTTGTTATTCATGTCACACTCGTCATCATCTGCATCGCTTTCGCCTCGTATGAACGATCATCTTCCACATCCAATTATTCCAAGACGAGAACGAACACTTTCACAGTAAGATTTCTTCTTTCTAAATTTAGTTTGTTATTATAAAGATTCTGTTCATGAGATATAGTCTATAATAAGTGTAATGTAAGAAAATCTTTTTAGTTATTAGAATCTCTAATGTATTCTGTACACATCAATTTCACGATCTGATTCATGCGTGATCGTCAAGGTTTTTTCGGTGTCATAATTTTAAAAATCAATCACACACTACACGAGTTACATTCAACACACTCGAGTCGAAAATGATAAAAAAGTGTAACTTGTTTTTTTTATGAAAAGAACTTTACTGAAATTATAAGGATTTAATTGAGATTTAAGTATAGATTCATTTTTTGATCTTATAAGGCTTCAGTTTAGCTATCGTTTTCTGGATTAAAATTTATACGATTGGATATTATTATATTCTAATTACTACAGGCAACTTGACCAATTTATTATTTAGATGTGAACGTGCATTACAAAGTCCATCTTATGAAGGTATAATAGACGAATTTTGTCGAGAAAAAGGTCATGGCTATATTCGACCAAAAGATAATCCAAGTCAATTAATTTTTGTACATGTTTCTGAGTAAGAATGATTTATTTTTCAAAAAACAAATTGATTCTATTTTATTTTTGTATATTTATTCAGTATTGATGATGACTATGTACCAAAAAAAGGTGATTTAGTTTCATTTAAAAAAATGTTAATGCCACCCAAGAATGAAAAAATTATGGCTGTACATATCAAACTTCTTCATTTAGCTGAAGGTGTTAAACATGAATCATGGGAGGAAGCTGTTGAACATGATATGGAACATCGACGACCATCAAGAGTTGATTCAGTAACATTTGCAAATGAAACAGCTGAAAATGGCGATAAAATACATCATGTTGTACCACATATATCACCGGTTACTCACGTAGACTAAATGAAGTACTAGTCGAATTTATTTGAAAACAGCGTTAACATTTTTCTCTGATTTGAATATGTATTGTATGTGTGCATGTGTGTGTGTGTATGGTCTTTCCTTCTTTACCTTGACCAACGCAATTTAAAAAGGAAATAAAACTTATATTTATATTAGTGTTCTGTATTAACGGTATAACTAATCTATTTTCTTTTCTTCAGATTAATCATTTGAATTAATCTTAAATTATGGTAAGAATAAAACTAAAATAAATATTCATATGATGATTATATTCTTTTCTAGGGAAATCAAGGTTCAGGTGGTCAAAGACGAGGCGATGGAGCCGGAGATAAAGAAGTAAAAGAAACAACGTCTATTTTATGAAATTATTCACATATATTTATATTTTAGAAAAAAAAATATGAACCACCAATTCCAACTCGAATAGGCAAACGAAAGAAACGTACCAAAGGTCCTGAAGCAGCTAATAAATTACCTCAAGTTTTACCGTATACACGTTGTCGTTTGAAACAACTTCGATTCGAACGTATAAAAGATTATTTATTACTTGAGGAAGAATTTATAAAAAATCAAGAACGTTTAAAACCACAAGAAGATCGTCATGAAGTAATAAAATTTTCCTTCTTTTTTTTTAAAATTAACTTTATTTTTACTATTTATAGGAAGAACGCTCAAAAGTTGATGATATTCGGTATGAAAAATGAATTATTTATTTTATAGAAATATTATTTTAATTTATTTTTTATAGAGGATCACCAATGGCAGTTGGAACATTAGAAGAAATTATTGATGATAATCATGCTATTGTATCAACTTCAGTTGGTTCAGAACATTATGTTACAATCATGTCATTTGTTGATAAAGATCAACTTGAACCAGGATGTACAGTTTTACTAAATCATAAAGTAAATTATTGATTTTTAATTCTCAATTTTACTATAATTAAATTCGAATATTGTTAGGTTCATGCTGTCATCGGTGTATTAGGTGATGATGTAGATCCTATGGTTGCAGTTATGAAACTTGAAAAAGCACCTAAAGAAACATACGCGGATATTGGTGGATTGACAACACAGATTCAAGAGATTAAAGTAACAATAAACATCAACTTTATTTTTTTGAGTATACAAAATTTAAATATTTTATATTTAAGGAAGCGGTTGAATTACCATTAACTCATCCAGAATATTACGAAGAAATGGGTATAAAACCACCAAAAGGTGTTATCCTTTATGGTCAACCTGGAACAGGTAAAACATTATTAGCCAAAGCAGTAGCTAATCAAACTTCAGCAACATTTTTACGTGTTGTTGGCTCTGAATTAATTCAAAAATATTTGGTAATTCAATTTTTTGTAAATTTTTAATTCTATCTAACTCGCGAAATTATAGGGTGATGGACCAAAACTTGTTCGTGAACTCTTTCGTGTTGCTGAAGAATATGCACCAGCAATTGTCTTTATTGATGAAATCGATGCTATTGGTACAAAACGGTAGGAATTTAATATTTTTCTCTGAAAAAAAGAAATTATCTTTATTTTTATCATTTAGTTATGATTCCAATTCTGGTGGTGAAAGAGAAATTCAACGTACTATGTTAGAATTACTTAATCAACTTGATGGTTTTGATTCTCGTGGTGATGTTAAAGTCATTATGGCAACAAATCGAATTGACAGTCTTGATCCAGCATTGATTCGACCTGGTCGTATTGACAGAAAAATTGAATTTCCATTACCCGATGAAAAGACTCGTCGAATGATCTTTAAAATTCATACAGGTCGTATGACACTTGCTGATGATGTTAATTTAGAAGAATTAATTATGGCAAAAGATGATCTTAGTGGTGCTGATATAAAAGTTTGTTAAATAATAATAATCGATATATAATATTGAATGTTTTTCTTTTTAGGCAATTTGTACTGAATCAGGATTAATGGCATTACGTGAACGACGAATGAAAGTTACAAATGAAGATTTTCGAAAGAGTAAAGAAACTGTACTCTATCGAAAGAATCAAGGCACACCTGAAGGATTGTATTTATAAGCATACAATATTTAACAATAGGAGAACTTTCATAAAAAAAAAATTTTTTTTATTATTATTATTATTATTCAAGTGTTATTTTTCCTTTTGCATGTTGTTCTTTATCTATAAGACAACAATAAACAAAATTTAACTAACAAAAAAAAAATAAGTGAGTTCATTTTAAATTCTAGATGAATGACGGTATTAAACAAATTCAAGGTATTAAACGACCTTATGATTCCAATCCAACAACAACGAATGCTGGTTATCAACCAGTAGCAAAAAAGAAAAAAGGTTCGAATTATTAGTGATTTAATAATAATAATTATTATTATTGTTTATTATTTGTAGGTGTACCTATAGTCGGTACAACTCTTCGAGAATTAATACATACCAGTGTAAAATTAGAACCAGCAACTGGTGATAGTCGCAGTCGAATTTGTCCGTATTTAGATACAATAAATCGGTATTTATAATTGATATTATGTATTTCGAACTATATTTTTTGATTTATTTGTTTAGGAGTGTACTCGATTTTGATTTTGAAAAACTTTGCTCGATAACACTTTCAAACAATAATGTCTATGCCTGTTTAGTATGCGGCAAATATTTTCAAGGTTTGTTTAGTAATATTTTTGAAGTTATAAATAAGATTTTTATTTTAAGGTCGTGGTCAAAAATCTTGTGCTTATACACATAGTGTTGAAGGCGAACATCATGTTTTCATAAATCTTCATTCACTTCAATTTTTTTGTTTACCAGATAATTATGAAATTATCGATTCATCATTAGATGATATTAAAGTAAGAAAATATTCTTTCATTTTCTCTTTTTATGTATAAATATTTAGTATGTACTTAATCCAACATATTCAAAAGAACAAATCGAACAATTAGATAAAAATGAAAAAATGGTTCGTGCTTACGATGGAACTTTATATTTACCAGGTATTGTTGGTTTGAATAATATCAAAGCAAATGATTATTGCAATGTTGTCTTACAAGTAAATTATTTTTCTCCTATATTTTTTTTTCATCGTTTTGTAAATTTAGGCTTTAATCAATGTTGGTCCACTACGTGATTATTTTCTACAAGAAGATAATTATGCTGATATACGTGTAGCACCAGGTGATATAATGATAAATTTAGTCAAACGTTTTGGAGAATTAGTTCGTAAATTATGGAATCCACGAAATTTTAAAGCTCATGTATCACCACATGAAATGTTACAAGCTGTAGTTAAATGTAGTAAAAAAAGATTTCAAATAACAAGACAAGGTGATCCTGTGGAATTTCTTGCATGGCTATTAAATAGTCTTCATTTAACATTAAATGGAACAAAAAATTCTAATAGTAGTATTATTTATAAAGCTTTTCAAGGAAAAATGAAGGTTTATACGAGAAAAATTCCACCTATTGACATGGTAATAATAATTAAAAATATTAATTTTCGTTTTATTTATTTAATTTTGTATTAGAGTGAAGATGAAAAAAGAAAATTATTATCAACAGAAGAATATAGAGGTAAAAAATTAAAGAAAATCATATATAGAAAATTTTTGAATGTTTATATTATTTAGAATATGATGAAGAAACACCATATTTGTTTTTATCAGTTGATTTACCACCGCCACCGTTATTTCGTGATGAACATAAAGAAAGTATTATACCACAAGTACCACTCTTTCAAACTTTAACGAAATTTGATGGACAAACAGCACAAGAACATAAAACATATAAAGATAATTATCTTAAACGTTATGAAATAAGAAAATTACCACCTTATCTCATTCTATGTTTTCGAGTAAGAAAAATAAATTTTTCTTCACTTTATCAATAACTTCTTTTATTTTTAGCGTTTTACGAAGAATACATTTTATTTAGAAAAAAATCCAACCATTGTCAATTTTCCAATTAAGTATGTATAGAAATACTCTGATAGAATTATTTCTCTTTTAAAATAGATAATCAATGTTTTGTTCATTTCAAAGTAAATCTTACTAAAATGAATACTTTCAAGTCGTTTCGAGAGTATTTCTAATAGAAAAGTTTTATTAAATATGATCGATTGAATGACAAGTTTAACGAAGCATAAATAGAGAATAGGGAGATATAAAAGAAGGATGAGGAATCTATCACAATATAGTCGATGAGATATTTTGTGAGTATCTTAGCTCATTTTAATAATGCACCGAACGTAGAAAGAAAATCCTTATAAGTTTTATTCTCATCATATAAATTAATTCAGTTTTCTTTTCAAAGTATTTCACTCTTTAATTTTTAAACATTCATTATGAATGCTACATGAACTTAAGATAAAAGCGAGCCTCTTACATATTCAGAATAGAACTTAATGTTCTGGGTGAAAAGAAAACAATAAGTATCAAATAAAAGCCATTGTATTTTATACAAAAAAAACTAGTCTCGAATCAAGGTGAGTTTATTCGTAGAAACACAATTTTATATGATAAGATGAGTGTTGTCTATATATTCTCTACTCTTATAGTTTTTATTCGCAAATTTGACATATAGATGCCAGACGTTTGAACTTTTGTATTGATAAAAAAAAAATAACGTCGATTAATAAAAGATCAATATGATGTAATATTTTAGAAACGTTGATCTTCGAGAATTATTACCGGAATATCATATTGAACCATCAGCTTTAGTTGAAAGTCCATCAACAACGTATGATCTCATTTCTAATGTTGTTCACGATGGAGAACCAGGTATAAAATCAAATTTTGTTTTTTTTCATATTTAAATATTTTTATTTTCTAGGGAAAGGTACCTATCGCGTTCACATTTTGCATAAGGTTTGTTAAAATTTAAATAAGCCATCAAATGATTTTAAATTTTCTTATTTTTCTAGGGTTCAGGTACATGGTATGAATTACAAGATTTGCATGTCGTCGATGTTTTACCGCAAATGATTACACTTTCTGAATCTTATTTACAAGTAAATAATTTCTTTTTCTTTTTCATTTATCTTCTTTTTTTATTTTCTATAGATATGGGAACGTCGAGATGTTAATGAATTATTCAAAAAACCTTAATGAAACTTCTTTTTTTTCCTTTGATATATTAAACTTCTTTAAGAGTGAAGCGACATTTAGGAAAAAACAACTGTTTTAAATGTAAAAATAAATTTTGTGGCACTGTAGGTAAATCAATATGTAATGATTTACATTGCCATATCAATAAAGTTACAATAAAACCTAAAAACATATCAATTGAATAATGATGACGTTCTAATATAGTACATATAATTCGTTGAAGTATATACAACCAGATCAATATTGATAAACTATAACGTAATTTTTTCGAATATTGACGAGATAAAATTGTAAATGCTAGAGCTGTAAGAGTATAAATAATTACATGTCCACTATAAAGTAAATCATTACAAGCACCGCCAACACGTGCTCGAAATGGATTAACAGGACCAGTAAAACGACACCAAGGTTTAGGCGAAGGAAGAATTGTTAATGAAAAAACACATATACGTAATAAACGAGCTATAGTTAAACATCTTGCACCTTTTTGAATTATAATTAAACCTTGACTACCATTAATAAAACAGAATAAAATCCATATAATAGCTAAATATTCAACTGGTAATTGATATCCTATATATGCAAATTTTTCAGAATTAATATTTTTTAGAAATTCGTAGCCAAGATCACGTAATGGAATATGAACATGATGCATCGTTGAGATTACTTGAACCATAGTATTTTCGATAAAGAATTCTAATGCAAGAAATAATAAATCTCTGAGTGATTTTAAAATGTAGATTTGTAATTCATTACTGACACGTAGTTGATATTGATATTTGATAGAAGATAATAAGGAGTGTTGTTGTGACATCATGAAATAACATTGAAAATATTTAGTAAATCATAAATATTTTTTAAGTATTTGACACCGGAATCCGAATAAATATTTAATATATTGTTCTGTATCGCCCAATAGTATTATAACACTTCTCAAAATACTAAAAAAAAGAAGAAATTTCCATTATTTAACTGTTTTCTTTTTCTCTTCTAAGGATTGATGTGTTAGAAGAGAACGAAAGAATGAAAAAAAAACAGTAGGTACATGTCTTATAAGTATATATATGTGAATAAAAGAAGCATGTTATAGTTGGGAATTTTTCTTTCGTTCAGTGAATAGTACAAACGGCTGACCCTTAAATAAATCCGCAGAGAACGAATAATTATTTTTTTTTCTTTGTCCAAATGTCAGTTGTATATATGTATGCGCAAAGAGAAACTTATTGATGTAGCTTAAGACTGTGTAGACGTTTGTTTATAGAATAATCAATACATTTATGCCAAAAAAAATCGGTTATGTTCTTTGTGTATATGATAATATCATCGTAAAAATAGACCAAATGTTTCTGGCATTGACGAATATCTCTAAGTATTATGGTACCAATCATATTTCTTCTATTGCTTTTTAGCTATCGTGTTCTCATAAAGTAGATTGATGTAAGCAGAATTCTATACCAAAAAAAAAGAGAAGAGAAAATCAAGGAAGAATAATATATTTCTGTTTATCAATTAATTGGTGTCTATATTTTAGTTTTTTCGCGTAATTTACACCTTATCTCTTTTTATTACGTACTATGTTAGTGAAAATTCAACAAATAAGAATCATATTGCAGAAACATATAGAACTCTCGTATTATTTTCTCTACTTATTGACGGATACGTCATACTTACACGTATTCAAAGAATGTAATTACCATGTTATGTACTTTGGTTAAGCATGCACCAGTCCTCTAAGTCATTTAAACGCACTATCGATCAGACTATATAACACTATTGTTAAACTTTGAAAAATAAGACGGGAAGAAAAAAGGACTGAGGGTGACTGCTAAAAAACCCGAAAATTTCCGATTTTTTACCGTTCACCCCGAGTCCTTTATTCTTATTGAGCAACCGATACATCCGCATGATAATCGATTTTTATTTCCTACCTGATTTGTTTGAATAGTGGCTGCAGTTTGCTTTTTACAGCAATGTAGTTTTACACGTTTTTAATATTTACCAAGTTATCTATAAGTTTTATTGTAGTAGTGAAAAATTTTAAAAGAATAAACTAACCATTCTATTTGTATGTTCAAATATTTACTATTTCGTCCAGCATGCAAATAAAAAATAGTCATACTACTAAGTGCACACATACATACACATCGGAAAAGCATCTCTCTAGTCGATTATTTAACTAGTCATTTAAGCTAAGACATTTATATCAAATCACTTAAATATCTGATGTAATTGTTGTTTTATCGTTCTGTCAATTTTTTTGTTTATACAGAAATTGAAAAGACAACTTAATATTATAATATCAAAGAAAGAATAATTAAACATCTTTTTGATGATTATACGGTCTACTGATTTCTATTTAATTATAAGTATAAAATTCTCTTTCGAAAATTGTTTTGTTCTGTATCATCTGATATGTCTAAGTAGATATATCGTATTTTGTTAATATCTGTTCAAGTACACAGATGACATCTTTTTATGGGAAGAGAACAGTTTAGTCTTCTTATTTCATTGGTTATTGATTGTATGTTTCTGTTCCAGCTTATATATACATTTTTTCTATTTTTTATGTCATCCAATATTGTTCTTTCAAGATGTGACATATGATTCATTTGTATATATGATGGGTACAAAATACAAATCGACAAGATTATTCACTTATCCTATTTCACAGATAAATCATAGGTATTTATCTATGTTATATTTCGATTAGATTATAGGGTGAGAGAGAATTCTTCTTCTAGAGTATTCGAATGTTTTTAACGATGATAACATAGTTCGTTTAGTTTTGTTTTGTTTTTTTATTTCGATATACGATGTTTTTTCTTATCTATTCTGACATAAAGAATAAAAGTATTCGCACCATCCGAACATGGTCACATGAGAGATCATATGTCTACATATCCATACTTTCAGAGGAGGAGCACATGCTGTAATTTTTGGGTAAATATATATATATATATACATCAAACTATTTATAAATAAACTTTTGCACTTCCTAGTTATATTATAAAAACAAAACTGATATATTTATTTTTGTAGATTTATTTTTTATTATATAACTAAAACGAATGGTTTGTAAATCGAATACTTCTCCGATTAATTTATCCTTTTCTGGATGTGGATTTTTGGGTGTATATCATATTGGTGTTATATGTGCATTTAGAGAACATGCACCTGAAGTATTGGAACGTAAAATGGCAGGCTGTTCAGCTGGTTCACTTGTTGCTGCTTGTGCATTAAGTGGTTGTTGTCTTGGACAAATGTGTAGTGATGCACTTGAAATAGCTATACGAGCAAGAAGTCGAGCATTAGGACCATTACATCCAACATTTAGTATTGTTGATATTATACGTAATGGTTTGAGAAGAATTTTACCACCAAATGCACATCAAATATGTTCTGGACGTTTATTTATCTCATTAACACGTTGGAAAGATAATAAAAATGTTATTATTAATGAATTTCATACACGTGAAGAACTTATTCAAGTTTTAATATGTTCAAGTTTCGTACCATATTGGTCTGGAATACTTCCTCATAAATTCCGTGGAGAAGTAAAATATTTATAAGAATTTATAAAAAGAAAATTTCTAATTTTGTTTTTGTCTTTTATTTTAGTATTATTGGGATGGTGGTTTAACTAATAATAATCCAATTATTGATGAAGGAACTATTTTAGTTTCACCATTTGCTGGTGAAAGTGATATTTGTCCAAGAGATGAATCCGGATCATTTTATAGTGTTGATTTTCGTGGTACAGATATTTCATGTACACAAGAGAATTTATATCGTATGACGCGTGCTTTATTTCCACCCAATATTTCCGTTTTGAAACAAATTTGTTGGCGTGGATATATTGATGGTTTAAAATTTTTACAAACAAGAAGTAATTCATGAATTGTTTTTGCAAATTTATTAATACAATATATTTGATTTAGATATGGTTATATCATCACATTTAAGTACAAAAACAACAATATCATCTGTACTTGGTGATGATTATACTGAACCAGCTACTGAAGATGAAAAACAATTAGGTAATGGTGGAATTGGTCAAGATGTTAATCGAATGTATGAACAGTTAGATGATGTTGAAGAAGAATCTATGGATGATTTTGAATATTCCGATGATGATGATGATGCATGTCAATCATATGATGAATCAAATGCTGCTAATAGTCAAGTAGCATTTAGTCCATTCTGTGAAAAAATAACACGAAAAAAAGAATTACCAACATCATTATATGCTGGTAAGAACTTTTATTGAAATCAATTTTTATTTTTTTATTTTTATTTCTAGTATTTGCTGATGCAAGACAAAAAGAAGAAGATCCAATAGGAAGATATTTTACAGATTCACGTCTTTATAAAGTTTGGTCACTTATGGCTTTACCAGTGACATTACCTATCGATATGACTTATGCATTAACGAAAAGGTATGAAACAATTTAACATCATAGTTTTTAAAATTAGTGTACTAGAAATGGGCAAGATAAATAGCGCTTATCATTTGAGTAGACAAACGAATGACGTCATTGAGTCACATGGCGCGGATTTTATTATTATATGACCTGACCTTCGCTTATGAAAGTCAGACTAGATTTTATTTTATATTGATTTCTATTTAGAGTATTAGGTGTTTTTCGTCCACCACAAGATACTACTAAACCAGCATCATCAAATCGTGCAGTAAATTTTCTTTGGTCATTATTTACTGATGATAATAGTGATAAATATTGTTATCATGTTAATGAGTAAATAAATTATAATTGACTTTTTATCTTTATTTAATTCAATCTTATTTTAGTTGTGAATGTACAGAAAGTCGTGCATCATCAATAGCAGCCTCTTCAAATCATCAACAACGTCGACATCGTCCTCATCGTCGTCGTCGGCCTCGCCATCAATCATCATCTCGATTGAATCCTCATCATACAAATTCTAATATTCAACATCAAACACACGCACCGATGAGTACAGTAACATCATATAGATCAGATTCAACAAGTGATCATGAAGATATTTCAACGATAAATGATGATAATGATACACAAGATTTATCATCAGAATTAAATATATCTCAACCTGATATAGTTACATCTTCAAAATCTACAACTTTAAATGAAGAATATTGTCGTCAGTTACAACAAATGGCTAATTTATCAAATCAACAAATATTTCATGAACAGTCATCATCTACAACATTGCCATTTTTTGGTAAAAATGATCATGTCATAAATACAGAATCTAATCCATTACCGACATCAACACTTGAAGAAAATGTTTTATTTAATTAGTAATAAAGACAATGTCTTTATCTACCGGTGTTTTTCCGAGTTTTTATATCGATATTGTATATAAGATTCTTATATTTTGTGTTTATGTATATATATATATGTTTATTTCTGTTGTATTTGAAAATTCAATGTACTTTTTTTTCTGTTTCTCTGTTATGTGTATTAGACAAACGATGATTTATTTATGAGGAAGACGAAGAAGAAGAAAATCGGAAGTATTCATTTATATTTAAACAAGCTACGTATTTTTTTTCATTTATACTTTAATACGGGTCTGATTATTTGTAACAGTGTGTATATTTTCTGTTCTTATAAAAGTTATTCGTTGATATTTGTTTAATTGTTTTGTTTTTGTCAGATATAAAGTTTGATAAGAAAGATACAATAACAATTTCTTTATAATTTTATTGTTTTTATTTCAGACATAAAGCTTTTATTCAATTGACATCAAAAAAGAAAAAGAACACACTACTACGTTCTTTTTTTCAATTCTTCTCGACTTTTTCTTTTTCTTCAGATGATGTCATCATATATACGTCCATGTTAAAAGTACTCCTACATTCATTTCTTCTCCTTTTACCCTTCGCATATGGTTACCAATGTTGTTTTTTTACGAAGAAGAGAGAGAAAGAGAAAGTATGACACTCTATATTTGTGTTTGATGGTCGACGTCGAAGGGGGAGAAGACGCAGAACGACTACCTATATTGAGTTGAGCTCTCTTTTTTTTTCTTTCTGTATTTTAACCCTTCGGGTAAATGTAGAAGGCGAATGAATACGAATTGAACGACACAAATCAAGGTATATCTTACCAATTCTTACACTCTTTTTCATCTTCTTACGTCATAGTAACTAACGAACTCATCAAATTTTTTCATTTTAGATATCTGTTAGTGTATACTTATTTTTTCTTCTTCTTCTTCTTTTTCTCTTTTTGTTCTTTTCCTCTTTTCGTAATATTTCATTATCCTTTGAAAATGGATTTTCTTTCAACCAATAATTTATCATGTAATGATGATACTTTAGCAGTTAATAGTAACACAATAAAAAAATTACCTACAATTAATTATGAACAAAATAATGAACAATATATAACAACATTTTCAACATGGAATGAAAATGAACAATTATGTTTTGTTGAAAATTTATTAAAACATATGCAAAGTCATCAACATGGTCAAGTTAATTTATTTTTATTACCTATGTTAAAACGAGATTTTATCGGACGTCTTGCTTCGTATGGTCTTGAACATGTTGCAGAGAAAATTCTTGGATATTTAGATGATCAATCATTAAAATCCACCGAACTTGTTTGTCATGAATGGTATCATGTTATATCTGAAGGTTAGTGTAAAGAAATCTAATAGAAAGAAGAAGAAGAAAAAATGAATTAAATATGTATATGATTTAAATAGGTATGCTATGGAAGAAATTAATCGAACGAAAATTTCTTTCGAATTCTTTGTGGCGTGGTTTAGCTGATCGTCGTGGTTGGACTAAATATCTCTTTCGACAATTGATAATTAATGGTGATAAACCTAAACGTCATGAATTTTATCGTCATTTATATCCTCAAATAATACGTGATATTGAACAATTAGAAAACAATTGGCGTACAGGAAATTTTCAATTAGAAAAAATTCAATGTCGTTCACAAAATAGCAAAGGTGTTTATTGTTTACAATATGATGATGAAAAAATCGTTAGTGGTCTTCGTGATAATACAATTAAAATTTGGGATAGAAAAACTATGGAATGTATTAAAGTTTTAACAGGACATAATGGAAGTGTTTTATGTTTACAATATGATGAAAAAGTTATTGTTACTGGTTCATCGGATTCAACTGTTCGTGTTTGGAATGTTAAAACTGGTGAATTATTAAATACACTATTACATCATTGTGAAGCTGTACTTCATCTTCGATTTATAAATGGTACAATGGTTACATGTTCAAAAGATCGTTCTATTGCTGTTTGGCAAATGAATTCACCAGCTGATATAACGATACGTCGTGTACTTGTTGGACATCGTGCCGCTGTTAATGTAGTAGATTTCGATGATAAATATATTGTTAGTGCAAGTGGTGATCGAACAATAAAAGTTTGGGTATGAATAATTAAATTTGATTAAGGTTTTTTTATTTTAATATTTTTTTTATAGGATACGACAACTTGTGAATTTGTTCGAACACTTCTAGGCCATAGAAGAGGTATTGCTTGTCTACAGTATCGTGATAAAATTGTTGTTAGTGGATCATCAGATAATACTATACGAGTAAGTTATCAATTCTTTAAGTTCAATCGAAACTATTTTAATTGCACATATTCATTCTTATGAATAGAATTTTTAATTATATTGTGTTCCTGTCACCATTCTATCCTTGACACTTTCCGGTTAAATAATGATAGACTTATTTCATGCTTTTTCTATTCTTAGGTTTGGGACATTGAATGTGGCGCTTGTCTACGTGTACTTGAAGGACACGATGAACTTGTTCGTTGTATTCGTTTCGATTCTAAACGTATTGTTTCGGGTGCTTATGATGGTAAATTAGATTTTCATTGATAAAATACATATTTTACATTTTATTTCTATTAATAATATTAGGTAAAATTAAAATTTGGGATCTTCAAGCTGCACTTGATCCACGTTCTCAAACAGCATCACTTTGTATAAAAACTTTAACTGAACATACAGGACGTGTATTTCGTTTACAATTTGATGAATTTCAAATCGTTTCAAGTTCACATGATGATACAATACTTTGTTTTAATTTTCTTCAGGCAGAATCACATGTTTTGAGTATATGTCAAACACAAGCCACAAATTTTACTCCATCAACGACGATGATAGAATCATCTAATAATGAAAATTCAAATGAAATACCATCGAATATATTTCAAAGTCAAGCTTCTGTTCAATCAATAATGTCATCATCATCCAGCTCGGGAAAATGAAATATCCGTTTACATGCGCGAATTTTTTCTGAATATAGAATCCGTTCTTTTCGAATCTCGCGCAATGTTTTGTCTGTTTTTTTTGTCTTTGAATATCCCTATGTGTCTGATATCTCTTTCTTTTTTGTCTTTTGTCGATATATATGTATTCAATCGAGAAATAGAAACATGTATGTTCTGTTATTTTTGATGAAGATAAGTTTATATACACTTCGACGTAAATTCATTTTTCACCATTTGTATCAAAATGATACTTTGCTCTTATAATCATAAAAAGAGCGTTCAGTGTATCAATGTATGTTATACATATAGCGAAAATGAAGAGTACTGAAAATGTTTGTGATAACATTGATTTCAATGTGATATGATTAAATTCACATAAATAATTTCAGTATATGATTAATAAAATAAAATAAAATTTATGGAAATTCATAGATTTTTTCTTTGAATCTACCGCTGTTTGAAGTACTACTGTGAATAGTATACAAGATTGTATATGAAGATAATAAACTTTTGATTTATAATAAAAATATTTTATCAAAATCTGAAACCACTTTTGTAAATGTGATTGAATTTCCATGAAAATATCCATATACATTACGTTACCACTTAATTTGTTTTTATCATAAGCAAATAAAGTTGTAAATAGATTTGTGTTATCACACGAAGGCATGATGACGACGTCATATTTACTTATACCGGCGTACATTGTTCTCAATATTCTAGAACAACTTGAAGAGCTGGTGTATCTTTCCATTTGAATATCAACACAAAATACTAAGATATCTCTATTAAATGTATTAGAATAAATATATTTTTTAAAGAAAACGAAAAGAGGCCAATGGAAATGACTTTTTAATTGTCGCAACAGTAAACACAATACAGTCGCGATATCGTTCAAGAGAATAAAATAATGAAAAGATATCATTATTTTATGATTGGATACACAATCTTTCGGTCTTTTCCATACATTTAGTGATTCAGAGTATGATCCATAGAATAATATGCAAACCATAAATAACATTCATATAGCAATCACTATTAAAACAACAAAAACAAAGCAAGTTATGATAATAAGTAATAAGTAATAAAGGTAATAAAATTATTATCAATTAGCAAGTAATTGTAATAAAAAGTAATAGTAATGTGACACTCCTAGTTATACTTAATTTGTTTTTATCATAAGCAAATAAAGTTATATATAGATTGATAACTAAAATTTTTTTGATTTTATATTGTTTTTTTTTAAGGGGACCCCCTCCCCTTTCCTGACAAAATTTTTTGTCACGTCTAGGTATCGATACGGATGGTCTCTATATGCTGACCCTATTTACAAAATCGAAAATCTACTTTTTATATGCAAAAAACCTCAAAAAAGTTCGTTTTTCTGTCAAAAAGTGCTAAAAATTGAAAGGAAGACGTGTTTTTCTCAAAACTAGGTTTTTAGGTGTCAAAAACCAGTTTTCCCCCCCCCCCCTTTTTTTCCTCAGCCGTTTAAGTCCAATTGGGCTGAAAATATTTTTGGTAATACTTCCACTAGGTTGTGGGGTATACTTTTTGTTTTCTTGATATCTCTTACTAATCAAATATGGCAGGATTTGCAAAATTTTCAGGATCCTAAAATGCTAGAAATTTTTCGAGTTCTTCAGTATTTTGGCTCTCCTGCCTACAGTTTTAGAAATTTTTAAAAAAAGAAAAAGTATACCCCACAACTTAGTTGAAGTATTATAAAAAAAAATTTCAGCTCAAAATATTGAAATCTATGGATTTGCCGGGGGGAAAACTTTAGGCCATTCTTAGACTGTGGAGTCTCCAGAAGTTGATGAAGATGGAGTCTGGCAAATTTGTGTCTATGACAACTTTTGCTCTACTACTCGAGACCTTTCCACCCTGAAAGTTTCAAGACCTTTCGGCTTGCCGTTTTCGAGAAACCCTGAAAAGGGGGAGGTCCCCTTAAGATAAAAGAAAAAAATGCCTGACGTATCTGATCGATGTCAACATGAATTATGTTGTTTAAAACAATCTAATCCTGCATTATTACGCTTATGTCGATGTTCACATCAATGTGGGAAAATGTTATGCCGTAAGCATTTAGTTGAACATGATGAATACACTGAAAAACAAAAACAATATCAAAATGAATTAGAAGTTTTACGAAATTCCTATATTGAAATATTTAATGAAGATCAAATTCGAACAGACTTACAAAGTTTAAATGAAAATTTTGAAATTCATCTGAATTTAAATGAATATATTAATGAAGATCAAATTCGAACAGAATTAAAAGTTTTAAATGAAAAACTTCAATATCATCATAAATTAATTGAATATATTGATAGTTTATTATCAATTAATTATTTGGATGAATCAATGAATAAGAATGAAAAACTTCAAGCCGCTATTAAAGTAGTACAAAAGACTATTGCACAGGAAAATCGATCAAGATCAATAGCTTGTAAGTTATTTTATTTAAAAGAAAAACAAATAGAATAACTGTTAATTAACTGATATCGATCCGAAAATTGAATCAGTAATAAATGATTAAGAAGTAAATTAACTAAATATAGATTATGATAAATTATCATAAATAATAGAGGACCTTAAAATCGTTCAACCAATTTTTTTCTGCTTTTGGAAACATTAATAAGAATCTAGATAATGATTTATTTAAAAGAATTTTATTTTCAATATGAAAATAGTTACCCAAATCGAGTTTTTCGATAATCACGCTTATTTCACTTAGAAGAAGATGAGTATAGTAATATTTCGTTTCAAAAGACCAAAATGCATTGTTTCTCGCTCCAAATGAACGAAAGTACGAATTGATTTGGTGTCGGCATATATCGTTTATCAGCAAATCATTAAGAATTCAAATTAATAGAACTAGCGTGGGTATCACTGAAGCAATATCCATTTTCGTTTCAATGACGTTCAAAATCTTGCTTCTGAGTTTATTGTCAGTTTTAATGAGGAAATAGTTGAAAATACCATTCTCCGTAGTCAATGAACTGTAAATACGTTGAGAATAGCTGATTGGTTTGCCGAAGAAAATGTGGAACCTAAATTAGTCGACTATGACCTTGATCTTGACAGCATCGGCGATTATATACCCATGAAAACTACGGTTGGATAGTTACAAGTATTGTGAAAATATTCAAAAAAATAAAATTTATGCAACTCTGACGTAGGCGACATTTTCAAGTACGATGTTTCCCCTTTGACTTCTAAACTATTTATTCTATATTGTATTTATCATTTTTGTTATTATCTTATTGCAGTAGTAATTTGTTGCTGGTCATTACTTATGCCTTCTATAACTTTCGACTCTTTCCGATTTTATTAGTAGTAATAAAGAGGGAAAAAATTGAAACTTATAAAGGCAAATAATAAAGTAACAAGTAGTTAATTCATATTTCGTTAATAATAGAAAAAAAGCAAATTACTGTAAACAGCAGTAGCAATTGCTACTCAATATCCATTAATAATAATAATAATAAGTAATAGTAATTTAGCATCTCTAGATGATACAGAAATGCATGATAGGGAGATTCTAATGAGTTCTAACAATACTTGACAGATTTATTTTATTATAAATAATGATTTTGTTCGTTTTGATAAAGATACAACATCAGATGGTGACCAGAACAATAATGCCAACGTTTCAACTACAGATAATGGTATATAGCTTTTGTTCTAACATTTTTTATTAGATGATATTTTCTATTAATATTTAGGCCTAGGCTCTAAAGTTGCAAATAATAACGAGAGTGATGCACGATCAATTATGATGAAAGATCGCATATGTAAGTTAACTATTATATTTCGACATAGGTCAATTAAACTTTTTCTTTTATATTTTTTATTTGAAAGGTAAAACGAACAGTATTGATTTAATGACATCTGAAGTTTTGGTTTTTTCAGGTGATAGTCTCAATGAAAAGGGTATGTTTAATTAGTCCTTATTATAGTAATTTATGATACGAATATTGTCTGATATATAATTTCAATTTAGATCCAATTATTAGTTCGGAAAGTAGTTGGAATAGTGATTATGACGCTGGTGCAGTTGATGATAATAAACACGGAGGTTTGTTCAGGAATTTTAATATTCTTTTTTTT